GGTGATTCGACGTTTGCAGAACAATGGGAATGTACTTAATGCCACAGAACTGTACACTTAAAAATGGTTAAGATGATAGGGCTAGACCTGTGGCATAGTGGTTAAGGTCGTGCCCTCCACTTCAGCAGCCTGGGGTTCATGGGTTCAGATCCTGGGTGTGGACCTACACACCGCTCATCAAGCCATGCTGTGGTGGCATCCCACATAGAAGAACTAGAACGATCTACAACTAGGATCTACAACCATGTACTGGGGCTTTGGAGAGAAACAAAAAAAAAGGGAAGATTGGCGACAGATGTTAGCTTGGGGACAATCTAACATCTGTCGCCAATCTTCCTCACCAAAAAAACAAAAAGTTAAGATGATATATTTTATATTATGCATATTTTACCACAATAAAAAAAATTTTAGGAGAAATAAATTAACAAAATTTTGTTTTAATTTGAGATAACTGTAGATTCACATGAAGTTGTAAGATATAATACACAGACATCTCTTGTACACTCTACACAATTCCCTCACTTTGCAAAACTCTGATGCAACAACACAACCAGGACATTAACACTCGTACAATCCACCCCCATCTTATTCAGATTCCTCAGTTTTACTTCTACGTGTGTGTGTGTGTGTGTGTAAGTCTATTGAGTTTTATCACCTCTGCGGGTTCGTGTATTCACCACCACAGACTCCTCCACAGTCCCGACACCACAGGGATCCTTCATGCTGCCTTTTTATAACCTCACCCACCTCCCTCCCACCCTACTCTCCATCCCAAACCCCTGACAACCACTAACCTGTCCTCCATTTACAAAATGTCATTATTTCAAGAATGTTATATAAATGGCATATCATTCATATATGCCTTCTTGGATTGGCTTTTTATGCTCAGTGTAATCTCCTGGAGATTCATGCAATCCATTTACAATAGTTTCATTAGCTGGCTCCTTGGGGCTGCATAGTATTCCATGGTATAGATGTATCACAGTTTGCTTAACCGCTCACCTATCAAAGGACGTCTGGACTGTCGAAAGACAGTTTTTGGCTATTATGAATAAAGCGGTTATATGGGTTTTTGTGTGAACATAAGTTTTTATTTTTCTAGATTGAATGCTCAGGAGGGCAGCGGCCGGGTTCTCTGGCAGTGCAGGTTTTTTAAGAAACTGTCAAACTGTTTTGCAGGGTAGCTGGACCATTTTACATTCCCACCGGTAACGTATGAGTGGTTCAGCTCATCCACATCCTCGCCAGCATTTGGTGTCACTATTTTTATTTTAGCCATCCCAATACGTATGTAGTGGTATCTCATTGTGATTTTGATTTGCATCTCCCTAATGACTACTGATGTGGAGCAAGGTGTTAAGCACAAGAGTGGTGTGACAAATGGGCACTTCAGAAAGGTCACTATGTGGAAGTGGTTTCAATGCAATAGTCCCTGATAACAGCTACTGGCGGCCTGACCCAGGTCGTGAGGGTGAAGTTGGGGGGAGGGGGGGCTGGAGGATTCCAGAAATGCTTTCAGAAATAAAGTTGGCTAAATGTGGTGACCAGTGAGACAGGGAGAGGCACCAGTGAAGAAAAGAGAGGAATCCAGAATAACATCTAGGTTTCTAATTCAGTCTAGAAATGTTGAGTTTTGCCTACAACACATCCACGTAGTGCAGAGCATTTGGATCTGAGCGTTCCAAATCGGAGTGGAAGCTGGACTGAAGTCATGGACTCCAAAGCTCAGGGGTTTCCATGGCTAAAATCAGCAATGGGAGGGGCCTGACTTTTGAAAGCTCTAGTCCGCTGGCTCCCGGTGTAGGCCGTGCGCCCAGAGCGTCTGGGGACTGCGGCAGAGCACCCAGCAATGCACACCCAGACCAAGCATCTTCCACAGCACGTGACACGCCTCCTACACCTACGGGCTATTTTTCGCTTGTATGTAGATTCGGTTCTGATTTCACAAATCCCTTTTAAAATTTTTAATTATAGATTCTTTCCTTTATGATTATTTTTCAATCAAATAATAAAAGTGCTAAAACTGGTATGAAAGTTTGCAAAATGTTGAATCATTTAGAATGGGCCGTGGCTTCAGCTAGTTGGTCTTCCCAGGGCCGGGGGTCTGCGCTGCTCCGAGGGGCCGGCTTTCGGGTCCTCCGGGTATTCCCTCCGGGTATATCCGCTCTCCTTCCCGGAGACTCCCTGCCTCCCCACTCCCCCCGCCCCCCCTGCCGCAGCCATCCTTTAGAACTCGAGAATCCCTCGCCCCAGCCTACTCCTCGCAGAAAGCACAGGCCCGAGGGCCGATCCCCTCGGAGTTGGCCCTGGACCCCCTCCGCGGGGAGTCCCTCCTGGTCCCCCGCCCCCCGGGGGAAACAGGGCCAGCCGCGCCGGAGCCGCCAGCGCCTCGCATCCTAGCGCTTCCAGCGCAGCTGTGGGGTCTCCTTTGCAACCTTTGAGATACTTTATTACATTACCCAAGCCCTGTCCAGCCCTGAACCCGCACCCTGACCCCCGGTCCCACCCGCAGGTATGCAGTAAGAGAACCAGCGCAGCCTCGAGATGCCCAGAGACACAAACCCGGAGGCTCTGTGTGGGCGCAGGCGGCCAGGCACGAGGCGCGCCGGGGAGTGGGCCCAAAAGGCGGGGCGTGTGGATTCCAGCTTTGGCAACGGTATTGCATAAGGTTGCTGCTTAAATACAATTCCAAAGAAATTGCGAGTCTCCTTGGGAAGGAGAGGGAGGGAAGAAGCGACCTTGGCCTGCTCTGTTCCCCGAATGGCAATCTCTGATGCGTTGTGACTGTAACAAAGAAGTCGCAGGGCGGACCCAAGGTCTTACTGCACATTGGGGGGGATTCCTCTCCCGGGGATCTGAGACTGGTCTCTTATCTCCCGGTAATGCCTCTGAAGTCTCCTGCGCTGACAATCAGCGAGGACGATGGCGCAGGAGGCCGTAGGGACCGCTGCCGCCCCCGCTCTGCGTCCGGTTCATTGGTTCTGTGTGGTAGTCAGCGCTGGACGCCCAAAAGCTCCGCCCTGCATTTTTCCAACAGGGAAAATAGTGAAGCTTCTTTTTACTTATATTTGTCTTTTTGCCTTATTTTTGGAGTTTTCTAAAATTAAAAATCCAATGTGCAGACCCTGGTTATTTTAAAACAAGCAAGTTAACTTGCGCTGCATGAACTGGCCGCTTGAATGGTTTCCCCTGGAGATCCTGAGATTCCTAGGATGAATCCAATCGCAGGAAGCGGCGAGTCAGGAAGGAAGAAAGGGAGAACTAGCGATGGAGGAGGTATGGCCCTCACTTTGCCTCCTGAATCTTCTCGGGCCCATGATCAGAGAACGCTCTTCTGCACCAAGGCAGCCTCACCCATGGGCTGAGCCAGGCCCACCCCTCCACAGTGGAGGCAGCCCCTTGGCTTGGGGGAGGCCCACCTGAATTTGGCAGCACTGCCTCGGCCTGGGGTGATGCCAGAGGGGCCCTGGTTCCCACTGTGGGGAAGGAAAGGCCTTCCCAGCTTTGAAAGTTGGTGTCCTTCTTTTGGGACTCACTGCAAAAGGTTCCCATTAAAAAAACGTCATGGCCACATGGAGAACTTGTCAGTGGACGACGTAGTAGATCCAATGATTAGGGGAGTTCACAAATAAAAAAAGCAAGAAACAAATATGCATTAGCTAGCTTTTTATTTTGCCAAGAATGGATATTTTTTAAACAATTACTTTCTCCAATCACCATCATTTCTTCTAAGAAAGGGTGCTTAACTCATGCACATACGTGGACGCATGCACACACTGAAAGATAAATGCCTAGACTAACGGACAGCCCATTAGTCGACAACGTGGAGCTTTCTGGAAAGCCTGGAGAAGCCCTGGTTTGGGGTATCAGTCCCCTCCCTTGGCTGTGCGTGGGGACCCCGGCTACACCTACATCAGCTCTCAGAAAGATTAGTGGGTGTGAGAGCCCCAGTTTTCCAATGTGAACTTCTCGGGTAAATGTACATGAGAATGAGTTGACTCTCAGGAAGCCATCCCCTCCCTGGAGAAAGAGCAGAAAAATGCAAACTAACACAAAAATATTGTTTCCATTCTTTAACCATTGTTCACCACCTCCTAAATGTGAGTTTCCAAGGTCAGTTTCAGTCTGAAACTTCTGATTCCATCTCAGTGGTGATGGAGGCCTGGCCCAAAGCTGGGCCAGCACAGGGATGTGGCCTGCCCTGGTGTCAGCTATAGAAGGGATTCTGTCTGCTTACAACTCACCACAAGGCCCAAGTCACTCCAAATGCCCCACAAAGACCAGGGAAGACATCTCCAGACCCAACTGGTCTGCACTGCTTTGGTGCTCCAAGGATGCCCTTCTAATTGCGGTTGGGTTGGCTCTGAACAGGCCTGCAGGATGGAGAAATGGAGACTTTTATCCTGATAAAGATGCTGAGGCCACTTTTTTGTGCCAGAAGAGAGATTCCCCCTTGTCACTCTAAAGCAACTTGTAAGGAATTGGAAACCTCTAAAAGGGGAAGCATCTGTGACCATCATCCCCACCTCCTTCTCACAGTCAGCTTTTCCTTTTCTTCACAAAGGCACATTCCCAAGCATCCCACGGTCCAATTTGTGTTCTAATGGTGAGGAAGCGGGGGCGGCTTCTGGGGAACTTGGAGTGCAAAGCAAGAATCAATTTCCTTCATCCTGAAAATGTTCTCGCACCTGAATGTGGGCCTCTGAGGATGAAAGAGGAAACTGACAACCAGAAATAAGGCTTGGAGATGAAGCCTCATTTTGAAAAGGGCCAAAGAGATGAATAGGTGGTTAGAAAAAGACAAAAGAAGTAAATACAAAGGGCCAACAAATAGAATTAAAATGTTCAACATCACTGGCAACTTTTTAAAAATGTGAACCGATCCAATGAGATACCATTTTTAGTGCAACTAATTGGCAAAATAAAAAGTTGTAATAGTCCTGGTTTCCTGGGGTCTGGGGAAATTGACACCCCTTAGGAGGGAGTAGAAACGATTGCAATTTTTCTGGAAGTCAGTTTTGCTTTATATATCAAACCTCAAAAACATGCATATCCTTTGACTCCATCATTTCACATGCGCAAAGGTATTCTAGGAAATAATGAAGAATGTGCAAAGATGTCTCTATATGAGGATGTTCACTAAATATCCAACAGTAGGAAATTGTTTAAATCACTTACGGTATATCTAAGTAATGGAACAGAGGAATATAATATGATAATATAATATAATATGATAGTTGTGTAATTGTTGGAAAGGCATTCAAAATATATTGCTAAGTTTTAGAAGGGTTACAAACAGTAAGCACACTTTTTTTCTGGTTTACCCATTTCATTCACCAAATATTACTAAGCGATAGGAATACATCAAAGATCAAGATAGACAGTTCTTTGCTCTTACAAAGAATACATTTCTTAAGGTAATGGGGTCTGGGGATTGGATAACAATAAATTAGTTGAAAATTAGCATATTGTGATAACTGCTATACAGAGAATTAAAGTAAGTGACATGATAGAGATCTTTCTGACAATTTTAACTAAGATCTGAATAAGAAGGAGAAAGTAATGAGAGCATTCCAGGCATAGGAAACAGTTAGTGCAAAGGCCCTGAGGCAGGAGCCAGCTTTAGATGGCATGTTTAGATACAGTTGGGCCATGTAGCTAAAGTGAAAGAGGGGCAGAGTGTTGGATAAGTTCAGAGAGGGGCAGGGACTGGATCACGTGAGGGTTGGTAAACCAGGTAAGGAGCTGGGATTTTATTCTAGGTGCTATGGGAAGACATTGCAGTTCTCCAACAGGATCCATGATCTCATTGATGCTTCTAGACTTCACGCTGGCTGTTGTGTGAAAAAATGGATTTGAGAGCACAAGGATGAAGGCAGAAAGACCAGTCTGTGGGGCTGCTACAGTGGTCCAGGCAAGGCTTGAGGGCTGCTTGGACTAGGGTAGGAGGTGAGATGGAGAGAAATGGGGGCAGTCTGGATTTATTTGGGAGTTGGTACCAATGGTATTTGCTAAGAGATGGATGACTCTAGGATTTTGCCCTCTTTCAGCCTGTTCTCCTCAGTTGCTTCCAGCTCTAATTCCAGTCCTTCCCTACTGAGGTTCAGCTATATCCTCAACAAGATGCACCCAGCTGCTAGCTGTCCACCAAAGTCTAAGCTCCTTTGATGCATAGAAACAGAACAACGGCTGCCTGACTACATTAATTTCCCAGCCTCCCTTGCAGCCAGGTGTGGACATGTGACTTTCTCCAGTGCACTATTAGAAGAAAGGATGATGCAAGCAGAAACCATCATTCCTCCACACTCTTTCCCCTTCCCACAGGCTGCAAACCAGGCTTGGCAGCAAACCAGCTTCAATGATGCAGATTACAATGAGACTTTGGGGGACGGTGGAACGATGAGCTGGAAGGAACCTGAGTCCCTGAAGGACCACCTGGAGCTGAGTCTCCCACCAGCCTAGAAAGCCCACCTGGATTGTTATGCAGGAGAGAAAAAATGGAAACTTATTCTTTAAGTCATAGAATTGTTGGATGTCTTTGTTACAGCAGTCCACCTTGCCATAACTGATACACCACCTCAACACGATCTATATATTTTTAAATACCAGTGGACTCTTTTTGTTAAAAAATAATTGAACCCCTCAAACAGTACCTCCAGACAAGTGTAGATCTTTGGGTCTCTCCACTCCTGTCCATGGCTGAACTTGTCTCCTCTGTGGACTAGATTCAATGCTTGGTGTACCTTTAAAACCCAATTTGGGTTGGAAACCAAAATCAACAAGCCCTCCACGCAGGAGGTATGGGAATTTTTTTTTACATACTATTGTTCATTTATAAAAATATTTGAATTAAGTACCGTATTCCTTGTTCTCAACAAATGCTTAACAATTGAGAAATCAAAATAAAAAAGATCATGCCATCTAATGTTAACTCTGCTAGAAAAGGAATTGATTTTTTTTTTTCATCGAATTGGGTGTATTCCAGAGAGGCGAGCTTGGAGGAGTCATGGAATCTGGCTTTCATGTGTTAATGAATCATCTTACTTTCCAAAGATGTTGGTGAGTTAGTCAGCAAGGGGAAACCCTAGCTGATCAATGAGAATTTATTTATATCAGCCAGTGAGCTCCTTCCAAAGGGTCCAGACTTGGAGACCAGCTACCCCACGGTTCACAAGGCTGACGAAGTACTCCGAAGCCCACCAGGAAAATGGCGTGCCAGGAGAGCATGCTCTGCGGACGGACGTTGGTGCCTTTCACCAGAGGTGACAGCCCTGCATTCCTCCTGCACAAGCTTCAGCATTGCTGCAGAAGGCGGAGCACGAGCTCGCTCCCCAGAGTGGCGGGTGTAAGTGTTTCTGGCGGCCTGTGGGAAAGAACATGAAAGAGAAACAATGAGTTAATAAGGCCTCGCTTCTTGAGGATGGGCACAGGCACTGGGTTTTTAGCTTAAACACATGTACATACTATCAAATGTGGAAAAGCAGGTGATTTTTCTCAGTATGGTTTTGGGGTTCCCTCCCACGCTGAAACCATGATGCTGGGTCCAATAGCCATCCGCTGGCTCCCCGTCCAAGCTCCTCCTCACGACTTCCCAGCCTCTGTAATGAGTACTCGCCACCTCCCACACTTGGGTACTCCTCCATCTCCCATTCCTGCTAAGCACTTGGGACTCCCATCAGTCCCGGGCTTGCCAGTACTCTCTTAGCACTCCAGTCATGCTCTCGATAACACTGTGCCAAGATTAATAGAATCTTCTAGCTGGTCTTCCACCTCCTATCTCTCCAAACCATCTTCCATTGACCTACCTAAAGCACAGCTTCACTTACATCGTTCCTCTGCTCCATAACCTTCAATGGCTCCCTATTGCTCATTCTGCAACCAAGATTCTCCACCATAAGGCCCTAACCTCCCTTCTACTTCACGTCTCTTCTCCAGTACACCCAGTCCAACTAGGCTTAATCACTCCTTATTGAACTTGTGCACTTTTTGCCATTTCCAGGCCTTTATTCATGTGATTCCTTGACCTGGAATACTGTTCCTCCTTCCCCATCATCCACACATTGAAACCAAATCTGTCTATCAGACACCTTCTCAAGTGACAACTCTCCCATAAAGACTTTCCCAGTTTGATGGCATTGTATTTGCGCTGTCCTTCTGTCCCTTGTTCCCCTCTAACTTGCAGTGTCAACCCCGAAGTGTCTATCGGAGCTTCGGAGCAGCAGCCTGGTTGGAAGGGAAGGCCAGAGAATGGCCTTCAAGCTGCCTTTGCATGAGCACCGTGTTTCACTATGATTGTATGAGGGGAGGGGCTGATGAGGTGGAAAATGGAGCTGCTGAGGTCCCTTCCCCCTACACCAGCCACTGAGCCCTATTTGCTCTCTTTTCTTTCCCCCACTGAACTGCGAGCGTCTTAAGGGTAGAGGCTGTGTTCCTCGAGTCAACGCCTGCTGCAGGGTTGCGCGATGCCAGCTGTGGAGTAAGTGCTTGACACGAAATGCGCTGAGTTTATTAGAGTAGGCAGTGCCTCTGGGAGGCATCCAGCTCGCACAGCTTCTTCCCATCCGTGCAGAACAAGTCACTGCCCAGCACACGTTCCCACCTGTGTCTCGCCGAAGCCAAGGGTGAGATAGGCTCCTATGGGAACACCTGACCTGCTTCTCCTTTAGGCTGTCCTTTTACTTTGGAACCCAAGATCCCCAGAAAAACGTAATGGGGTGGCACCCAAGCCAAAGGGACAGCTTCTCATCTGGACCTGATGGAAGAGTCATGCAGTTCATTTCACATTGTTTCATCAGCTGAGAAGAAACCCTTCATCGATTTCAGCAGGAATCTACTTTCTGAGGGCGCCACCCCTCATCCGAAACAGACAGAGACAGCAAATTGCTCCACAACCCTGTAGCCTGGTTTCCGTGCTGCCTGGGATGCCTCCTTCCACCAGCCGGAGCCCCGTGAGCCCCACCAACACAGCGCCCTCTCCCCATAAACTGAAAGCCTTGGCAAGGGACATGGAGGGGGACCCGGCAACGGCACGTAGCCCTCACAAAAAAGAGAAAAGGAAAGAGCGGGCAAGGAGGTGGAAACCCCAGCTCTTCTGTTTTCCTCTATAAATTCGAGGCCAGGTTTTACCTCTCCCTCGGCAACTCCGCCTCTGACGAGAAACTACTACAGATACTAGCCTTGTGCTGCATTAGGCATTCACGCCCCCACCCCTTGTCACTTAATGGCCTTAGTTTGTTTTGTTTTTAACTCTTGAACCCAGGCTAGCTTATTTCCTATTCATATTTTTAAGGAATTCAGGCCCTCTGCAGCAAAGACAGACAAGCATACCCCGGAGCTTCACATTAGGGATGTTTCTGGATTGTTGGTTGAAAGCATGTATATTTGTTAATTTGCACCCTAAACACACCCCACGGCCTCATTTAACTCTGAGCGCTCATGTGTGTATTGCAACTGCCTGTGCATGGTTCCAACTTAATCAAGTACTTAATGAGTAGCATTAATATTCCTTGTCTTCTCCACGGGAGACCACGCTCATCAAGGTGAATAGCGCCTGGCCGCCTCCACAGCCTGCCGTTGAGCTAAGAATTGTCTGTCCTCATCTACACAGTGGACTGTTTGTCCCCCAAGATGGGAAAACCCTGCTGGGCACTTTCCAAAGGCTTCATTTTAGAATGAGATGTTTCCACTTAGAGATCTTTTGAAAATGCCAGGCAATTTGGAAGAGCAGTGGGAAACGTATTATCTGGGTGATCGTCTTTCAGAGATGCTCCTAGCGTGCCTGTTACGTGCCAGATGCTGCGTCAAGTGCTGGGGATGCGATGATGACCCAGGCCCTAGTTCCTGCCTTGGTGGCGCTTACCGGCTGATGGGAGAGGCCCACACTTATGGAAGGGTAACCCTAATTGGTGCATAATGGCAATGTGAGATCAGCATTAGGAAGGAAAAGCTGGGGTGCTGGGGAGCCATTCCCTAAGATGTTGGAGCTGAGCTGAAAGACGAATAAGGACAGAAATCAGTTATTCATGGAATATTCCAGCTGGAACACACACACACACATACACACACCATCTAGTATAATTCCTCTATTTATAGATGGGGAAACTGAGGCCCAGCAGAGCTAAACGTCTTGCCCAAGGTCAGAGCTAATATAGAAACCAGCATCTCCATACCCACGCCCTTCCCGCTCACTCACATGGATTTTATTTATATCCCAGCTATAGATTCTCTCAATACACTTGGCCAAGAAAATGCCGAATATTGAGTTAAAACCACATCCCTCAAGACCACAAACATAAATAACGATCGTGTTTTAATGTGGATGTTACCTTTTCATTTCGCAAATCCGTAGAGTTCTCATCATATCAAAATGCAAGACAGTTTGTTTTCCGTAAGAACAGGAAGGTCGTCACCCTGTCTAAAACGCACCGGCCAGTCTCTCTAACCGTGCATTGCTAATGTGGGCGTGAGCTGTGTGCTCAGGCTGACTTCAGCCCCCAGCGGGGGTTTCAGATTTGCACACGGCGATTGGGTGGCTCTCTGCTGTTCCCTGTAAGAGTCCTTCCCTGGACTCCGGGAGCCTCGGGGGATCTACCGCTGCCGGAGCGGCCGTGTTCTCGCCAGTGTGTACATGCGCTGCATGGTGAAACATTCTTTTGAAAAGCCCGTGAGAATCCACTTGCAGTCCGCCCTTGTGCACCTAACAGCGCAGAGCAGGGGCTGGAAAGCAGCGCAGCAGACTCGAGGTTACCCCCGGGGAGCGGCTGCAACGGGGAGGGGACGTGGTACCGTCTCCTTTTCACTCTAGAGATGCCTGAGTTGCGTAAAATCGTACGCAAGACCGTATTAGTGTATTACACACTGAACACATATGGATGACTTTTTAAAAAGAAGATTCTTAAACAAAAATAACACGTCAATAGAACAAAGGTGCCTCTCCGCAGAAAGCAGCGGCGTTTCTCCTGGATGTGAACGTCCATTCCAGGAACCTCAGGGTATCTCCCCCTTGACCGTCGTGGACTATCTCCGGCATCTCAGGCAGAGATTAGGAAAGTTGTAGGCGCCTCGAGGGTCGCCGCACTTGCCGCTCGCGCCCGTGTAACCCGCGCGTTTGGGGAAGTCTTGACTTGCCAGCGTGCGCGCTCCCCAGCCCCCAAACTGGTGCTGATGCGGGAGGGTGCGGTCGCGGCGGGGCGGGGCCAGCCGAGCCCGCACCCCCACCGTCTCCCCCGCCCCCTCCCGCCAGCCCCGCCCGCGCTCGCCCCCCGCCCGCGCCCCGGGCGCTCGGCCCGCCCCCTCCCCTCGGCGCTCAAAGGAACCTCGCGACGCCGCGCTCGGCGGTGGCGGGCGGGGGCCGGGCGAGGGAGGGGTGGCCCGAGCCGCCCGACTCTGCAGTTGTCTCCCGAGCGCGGGCTGCGCCGCCCGAGCCGCTGGGTGGAGAGGCACCAGCCGTTCGCTCCCGGGCCGGCTCCTCCAGGCGCTCGCAGGCATGCAGCCCGGGAGCAGGCGGCGTGCCCCGGGCCGCTGCTGAGCCGGCCGGGGCGGCGGGGACGCGCACTAGTTGAGCCCCTCCCTCCTCACCCCGGGGCCGACCGGAGGCGCCCCGGCACCCCCTCTTCGCCCGCAGCTCCGCCAGCGCCACCCCCCGCGGGCCGCAGGGGCTCATGCAGCCGCCAAGGTAAGCGCGGGCCGGGCGCGGGGCGGACCCAGCTCTGACATCCCCAAGCGCCGCCGACACTTGCCGGGGCCCCGGCCCTGCTTTGGTGCTCCCCAGCGCCGCGTCTCATCCTGCTCCCGTCTTGCCCAGATTTGGAGCTTTGCTGCGCCTCGATGGCTTTCGCTCTTGGCAGCAGTAAAGTTTTTGTGGTTTGGTATTTGCTCTTTTTTCCTCAAATGCTCTCCCCCGGCAGCCGGCAGCGCGCGTGGTTGGGCAGATCCAGCGAACGGCTCTTCCACTGTGTGCGGGCTGGGAGCTCCCTTCTTCCGGCGAGGCCACCTCCTCCTGGGGCGGCCGCGCTGCCCGGCCCCTGGAGCCTGGGACAGTCTGGGACGGAGCCGGCCACCGGGCTGTTCTGCCATGAACCCCCATTGGCCCGACTCGCCCGGGACGCCTCCTCCTACTCCGCGCCTGGCTGCCTAGGCCTGCCCGGGGGGGCGTCGGCGCTGCGCTCCGTCTGGGCTCGGGTCGGGGCAGTCCTTCGCCTGGGAGCGCCACTGCGCGGGAAGGTGCAGGGCTTGGGATGAGTGCTAAGGGATAGGACTTCCCGAGAGCCTCGGTGTTCCTGAGTGGACGAGTCCGCACCCCGCTCGCGCCGTGGCTCATCCCAGGGAACAAGCTGGGGCAAGGGGACAGGTGTATTTAGGAGGAGGGCCGATGCGGGGCACGCAAGGATGCGGTTCTTGGTTGCATCCTGTTAATGTAAGTAATTACACTGGTTTGCCAGGAGGTAAAGTCAGTTCCCCCAAGTTGCGATTTTAATGGAAGCCTGCAAGCTGCTATGATATGCTGTGGTTTCAGAAGGCGTTGGACTGTATTTATTTTATAAATCGGGAGTCTTGCGGGCGGATTAAGGGAAACCGCGCCATCTAGCGGAAATGGCGAGCTGCGTGTTCCCTTTAGGCAGCGAAGTTGGGTGTTCTCAAAGTAGGAGACTCCCTCGCGAGGTGGTGAGGAGGGAACTAGCCCTGGCGTCCTTGGGAAGAGTAGCTCTCGGTGAATCTACAGTCCCCGGGAGTGGATCGGGGCGCCCCACGACCCGAGCTCAGCATGCCGAACTCAAGGGACAGAATTGCAGGTCGTACTGAGTGGCCGGCTCTCACCTCAAGGAGATCTGCCAGCATCTCCACCAGGCTTTAGGATCCTCCAGCAAAAACATAACATATAATGTCACCTGCTGGTAAGAGGATGCCCCTTCCTCAGGCGTCTATCTCAGAAATCTGAAAAACGTACGCACAGACATTGCTCGTCTCCCGTGCAGCCCAGACAAGTGACTTTGCAGGCAAATCTTGAGCCGCGCGACCCTCAGAAAAGAGGCTGGCTGTGCTCTGAAGGGCAGCTGAAGGAGAATTGGGAAAGGGTCTGTGCCACTCTGTACAGGAACGGTGTAGTGTACCAAAAATAGCAGTTTTGCACATACAAAGAAGAGGTTTCCTGCTGTTCCACTACCACAGCAGGTGACAAGCCAGCCCCCTTTATAAGGGTCGTGATCTCCAATTAACAACTGGGGCTGACTTTGCTGGATGGTGTACAGAAGGGACAAAGGCTCTGGGTGGGGCACCCACACATCCAGGCGGGCTTCACATTCTCTGTGGCTGGTTTTTGCTGCCACCTTCCAGGCCAGATGATATTAGCAATGAGCTGGGTTCTCCCTCATCTGAAGGGTACGTGGGTTCCTTGTAGAGCAGCGTGGTGTTCTGCTTGTGGTGCAGACTCTTGCCCCTTGAGACCCTCTGAGCTGTGGTGGTGGTGAGGGAGGTCCCAGCCTCCTTGTTTCAATAGGCTTGCTCCCATCATTTCCATCCCAGGTGACAGACAGGTGCTTATACTCCAAACAGGCATGTGGAATGGTGGGTGGCCTATCTCCCCACCCCCTGTGCTGTCTCAAAGTCACTCTTCGTTTGCAGGTGTTTATTTAATAATCAGATTTGTGACAAAAAGGATCTGGCAGTAACCTGGCATCTTATTCAAGGAGAACTTCTCTGATTTTTGCTAAGAAGGCTCTATCTGCTTTCTCTCCTTACGAGCCTTTCCAAGGTATGACTTGCATCTCCCCAGTGTGTATAATAATACAGAAAGGAGGCATGAGAAGCTCCTATTTAACATGCCCCTTGACTCGGCTCTCCAGCTGCCTCGTGTGGGGCCAAATAGAAGAATTCTTAGATGAGGAGATGCAAAATAAAATGAATAGGTACTGAGCATCCCTAACATTGGGACAGGCAGTTTTCCAAGCCCCTCTCACAGTGATGCTCGCTGGCTCCTGGAAGCAGGCAGGAACAGGTGTTTTCATTTCCCTTTCTCAGAAGAAACTGATGCCCAGAGAAGTGAAGGGGCATAGCCAGGGTTCTGTGGGTTTAAGGTGCATTTTTCCCTACAACCTTGCTACCAAATGAATTAAACTCAAGGACTTCCTTTTACCAAGTATGGTCCCAAAATCTCGTCATGCTTTAGCAGGTATGATCACCAGTCTCTCGAGGTCTGCCATCCAGGGAAAGAGACGGGATATACCCACGTGAAACGGAGCATAAACAGAAACTGTTGGAAACCAGTGACAGACTCATTGGAATCTGTTAGTTCTGTGAAATGCAAAGACACTACTCCTTACAGATCATTGTTCTAGAACTTGACTTATAATATCCCAAAGGTAAATTTAAGTAACTTTTAAGTGTCTGCAGCGTTCCTGTGGCGCTTTAGTTCTGAGAATGGCTTTGCTTTTCAAACAACATTCATTGTTTATTCATTCAACAAACTTAACTCAGCATAAATTTAACCTGAAGAAGAGAGGCTTCAGACTTTCCCAGGTGTCTGGTATACAGTCCTCTTCAAATGACAGGCTCCTCTTTTTCTTATTTTGACTGAACAACAGCTCAATTTCACCCTCCCTTTCCTTAACGACAGAACTATGCAATGAACAGTGCAGTGGAAAAAATTAAGAACTGCCTCAGCCAATTGCACGTACAGAGTCAGGCAGAAGTCAGTTTCCTTGGTGATAAATGAACATCTTTTAAAAGGATGCCCAATTTCTTAGCCAGGTCTGACCTAAGAGTAGAACGTGCTGTATCATATTAGAGCCTAGGGGTCAGGGGGCAAGAATGCCTACTGAGATGTGAAACTTTACAATTCTAAGGACAAGAGGAAAAAGAAATTTGGAAATTTGGGCAGAAATTGGAAAAACAAATGCAAACATCTTTTATAGCCCCCTTTAAAAAGTGAAAAACACTGCTACTTGACAAGTATAAAAATGCACTATGTACCTACTCAACTTATAAAATTATTATATCTATTGTATCTATTATATATGTTGCTAGAGTAAAGAATTAACGTGTAGCAAAAACTTTATAGGGAGAGTAATTACAAAGTTGCTGGTTGAGTTTACTTCTCGTTTTTTCAATTGTTTGTTTAAAGCAACACTGAGAGATGGAGAGCTTTCAGGAATCAAGATACCGGGTTGGCCAGAGCCTGAAAATCTGGCAAAAACTTGAAAACAAAAGATTCTGTCATCTATCTGGTAAAACAAGGCCGCTGCCTGTAGATTCTAGTAAAAATGCCCTAAACCTTGTTGATTTCTTTCTCACTAGGGCATTGTTTAGGACTTACCATCCTAGCTTCTCCTTATGTCTCATTGTTTCATCTTCGGGGACTCCCAGATCTCAACATCTTTGCCCCTGGCTGAGAGCAACAATTTGTCCTCTTCCCTGATAATACTTTCCTCCTGCCCTCGTGAACAGAGGTTTTCTGTGTAAATCCTCAGTAAGAGTGTCAGTACTGTTACTTTACTCTTAGCACACTTTTCTTCTTGAATGTGGATGCAAACTTTTTTTCCTCCTCCTTAGGAGTTTTGAGGAATTTTCTCCTTGACCTCTTTAAGCAAGATTAGGGAGAAACATACAAACACGCAGAGATTCACCCCTGATGACCTCCGAAACTTCTGTTGTGGTATTAGCATTGTCAGCACAGTGCAGACACTCTACTTTAGAATTCACTCTCCTGTTCGTCTTTTGTACATTTCCCAGTTGATCTGTACCATGCCATGTCTCTTCCCTCCAGATTATCTATTAAAAACCATGATATTTAGTTGTTCAAGGCACTTTCACAAAGTTTTATCCTCTCTATCAAAGTCTAATGAGACTAGAAGACCTTGCTGGTTACCCCTTGCAAGGATGCCCTTTCACCTGTTCAGATGAAGGCTTGCAAAGAGGCCTTGCTCAGAAAACCTCAGGTGGGCAAAGGCGGGGCCATCTCGGTGTCTTAGCAATTTGCTGCCAGAGTGCATTTTCAGCTCCTGGCACTGGCGTCCTGAAGAATAGACTGCTCTTACAAGAACATGTCCACTGGGCTGTGAGAGTTTAGCTAAGCTTCTCCATGGTATGCCTGTCTCTGCATCCTTTTGTTTGGCCAAGCAGACCTCAGGGGCCTTCAGCGGACCCTAGCCCCTTGTGCAAGCGCATGCCCTGGATAGCAGCCTGCAGAATCACAAGCAAATGTAAGTTGCTAGTATGAACCCCCAACAGCCTTTGTGATCAGCAGTGTCCCCTGCCTCTCGGGACCTGCCCAAGATCCCTGTGGGGCTCACCAAAATCCCCCTCTTTGGTTTAAAGTGGCCAGTCCAGCCTTAGCTTGGGAACCCCAAAGCACTCTACCCCTGGATCCTAATAAAATGCATGTGCCCCAGGTCCTGGTTCTCTCTCGCTGTCTCTGCCCTCTGACCTCCCCACGAGGCCCCTCAAGGCATGCTGGATACTTCCTCCAGGACCTGTGAATAATAAACTTCTCTATTTCAGTTTCTCCTGTGGTCTGTTGTTGAGCCGTGGCTCACCATCTGGAGGCCTATGCTTCACTTAACAAGTGTTAATTTGACAGATTCATAACAGAAGAACACACAGAAATGCAGATTTCATTCACAGAATACTAAAAAGGACAGAATTTCTTCAAAACAATTGATGCCTTGAAAAGAATGAGAG